CAAGTGGCTCCCCAAATTTCTAAACAATAAAATAAATATGGTTCAATCAGTGAGTGGTACAATGTTAGTAACCCCGACCAATTTAGTAGAAATTTGACTCTATATAATACACCTATGCTTTGGCGATTTTCCCCTTTATATGACCTACATGTGATTTCCACGTGAGACTTATTGAACATGACTCCAAGAAATTTGGTTTCTTTTACCCTTTGAATTTCCATTCATCTATCATTAAAGATGCATCACAGCTCCTTCTGTTATTAAACAGTATAAAGTTTGTTTTGTTTAAAGGATTAGGAATTTAAAGGAAGGTGAGTGCAGCAGATTAAATATCAGCTCATGCATCTCGCTGTGAGCTTCTACTAATCAGTGCTGACGAGTTAAAATCCTATTCTCTTCTGCAGATGTGTTTGGTGTTGGAGTAAATGCTGATTAAATATTTCTTCATGAACCCAGTCATTACTTGACATGAATCACTGTCTGAGGTGCATATGGTCAGAATGCGACCTTCTCTGCTCCCTTTTGTCTTTCCGCAAATAGAGAAACAATCTGGATAAATGATACTTTCTACTAGGGCTGGCTGAGATGGAAACTATTTCTATCACAATATTATTGTTCGTATCGGTCGTCGAATTCAATATATATCACAATTAGGGATGTGTATTGGTGAAATTTTGGCGATACGATAAGGATCACCATACAGGGGAGACGATACAACATATCACGATATATTGCGATACATTCAGTCGGGCGATATTAGCAATTTTTTTAGACTGAATTTTTTGTAGGAATTTTCAATAAACAGTTCAAACTAGGGCTGGGCGATGTAACCTAAAATCAGTATCACGATATATTGAGAATTTCACATTGATAACGATAAATGGGCAATAACTACAAGTATGCACAGAAACAAAAGCTGTCCACTAGATGGGGCTGTCACATGTATTACTTGAGTCACATTTTTACGTGACTCAAGGTGGTACAGCTTCTTAAAGGGATGTGAACGTTACAACCTACACATCTTTTCATTTCTTTATTATCATATTTATTGACATGGGAAAAATGATCACGACAAGAGTCAGAAATTTCGATAACAATACATTTTCGATTTATTGCCCAGCCCTGGTCCAAACTGATAAGTAACATTTTAACGCGAGGTATCTGAACCACAACAGAGGGATTTATATTTCAATGGTGGAAACAAAACACATTGCTCACTGCTGCCAACTAGTGGTCTGCGTTTGAATTGCACCAAAGGAAAAGAAAATACACAAATATTTGCATGTAAATTATTCCCAAAATTTGATACGTGGATTTTGAATAATATAAAATCACAGGATAAAATATCACAATATTTTACCATATCAATATTTTCGATATGTAGCTTTTCAATATCGATACAATATCACAGGATAAAATATCACGATATATTGCTATATCGATATTTTCTTACATCCCTAGTCACGATGTAAAACAAATCTCTGGTAGGCTGGCAAGCCATCATAAACAAGCAAATATATATTCTAGCCATGACCCATTGAAACAATCTAGCTGTGGGGCAGAATCTACAGTTGTCTTTCAAAATGTCTCCTTACACTATTGGACCATGCTACAACCAATCAGCGCAACGATAACATGGCGTATTGCAATATCAGTCAATGTGGCAGCCAGTCCACCATACACTTTAAAGAAGAAAGAGAAGCAAAGACATGTTTATATGAAATTAAAAAAACTTACGCCCCCTCCCAGAGTCTTACTCCACCCACATTCCCACCACAAGGAGGCGTTGCCTGGCAAATCAAGAGTGGCAGGTCAGCAAAACTTATATAACTGTTTTGGATAAATAATTATTTTACACCAAAATCCTCAAGTATCACAATAGAACAGAACAATAAACGGAGATATCCTTCTGTTGATGTTGAGTGAATGAAACAGGCAATAGGTTCATTTCCACTTCCGTAACTTTAGGGTAAATTCTTCCCAACATGCACATGTCTCCACTTTACCTGGCCGTCCGAACGGTCGTTTTCAGGAACTTTCTGAGTACCTGTTCAGGGGTAGGTACTCAGAATGGCCCGTTGGAGCTTTCGGTTAACTCGCTCTGATTGGTTGTAACTCAGCAGGAAGTGGCTTCAGCAGACGCCGTTCAAAACAACCGGCAGTAGTAAAATTAGAAGAGTTGCTTGTAAAGTAGAATGGAAGAAAAATAATATAAGCACAGATCACTTTAAATTGTCGTTATTAAACTCGCGACACAGGAAACATGGTGGAATTCCCTCACAACAACTTATTTAGTTTAGTGGTATTCCCCGTTAGTCAGGTCCTGTTAAGTGGCGCAGCTACGACGCTAACTAGCCAAAATACGTCCACACCACTCAACTATTCAGTCTCTTATTGTCAATGATGCCATTAGCTGTTTCTTCCATATGTCCTTACCCTTTCAGTGTGCACATTTTTTACATGTCCAGCTATGCCCTGTTATCTGCAGAAAGAGGCTAAAACGACACAAACATTAGCCATTCACAGCGTGTCGGTCCGGCTGCCATGTGGCTCTTTCTCAGCCACCGATTGGTTGAAGTTCTGTCGACCCATTCTCACAAGTCTATCAAGGCAAAAGTATTTCAAAATTAATATTTTTATTGCCGAGCCCTGCTTTCTACTATATCACTACAGTTTTCAACTCATGTGGGCAAAAGTTGCTGTAGAACAGCTCAGTCATCATTCAATTTTGACAGAGGTGTGACCAAGTCACTGCTTTGCCACAAGTCGCAAGTCTTTCCGGTCAAGTCCAAATCAAAGACAACCAAGTCCAAGTCGAATCCAAAGTCAGTGATCTGGAAGTCCAAGTCAAGTCCAAGTCCTTAACTTTGAATTTTCAAGTCATCTGTCCAACTTCAATTTAATGACAATGATAATAAATAAATTCCAGAAATAAAGCATCTTAAAGCTTCATTTGTTTGCTCAAACAAGCAGAAAGTGCCACTGAACTTGACTATAAACAAAGTGCTGCTGCATTTAGCAGTAAATCAAACCCAGAACGAAGAATGATTTATGATTTTTGTCTATGTCGTGCCACTTTTGTGCTAAAATATCAAATATGCTCATGTCATCAAGTCTACAGATGCAAGTTGATTCAAGTCGCAAGTCATTGGCATTCAAGTCCGAGTGAAGTTGTGTCTTTATAGATTTTATCAAGTCAAGTCAGAAGTCATTAAAATAATGACTCGAGTCTGACTCGAGTCACATGACTCGAGTCTGACTCGAGTCATGTGACTCGAGTCCACACCTCTGGATTTTGAGTTAAACCCATGTTGAGACTTTTGTGAAAGTTAACGTTGTCAGTTTAATTTGAGTTTTAAGACGTATAACTGAAAAATCATAACATTACAAACTTTAAACCGAGATAATTTAGGATAAAAATAACCAAGCGCAAGTAAGTTAGTCTAAAGTGACGCCATCAGACATTCAGTCTGTGGGAACTTCTTGTGCACGCGTGATCCACGGTCCCATTGTTGAGACAATGACTCAACTCTGGGAAATGACAGCTGCACTAGCATTTCTGTTTTTGAGTATTTATCTTATCCAAGTGGGAAGCGACTGCACATGCATGACTAACATCTGGCAAGGATAGTCATTTTAAAGCCGGATGTTATGTTGTGCTTTATGCTCAGTATTTAAAAATGTTGTATCCTGCTAGGTGCAGGCTAAAAAACATATCAGTCCTCAATAAACTGCTTTTAAATGTTTTGACCAACTTCTCCATGACTATGACTTACGGTGAGTTGTGGTTGTCGCGGCAGCTTCTCCATTTTATTTTTAAACTGTTGTTGCAGACAAACGAGAAAATGAGTTTTTTAGAGTGAAACGTCACGTTTCTTTGAAAGAAAACAGACTAAAGCCTGTTAGAGGAGCTACAGTAGTTGTCTGTTTTGTAGCCTTATACCTGACTGCCTTAGTGAATCGGCACATCCAGACCTAGTAACGGTATTTAAAAGTCTTTCTGAAGTAGTTTTTGGCTGGAGCAAGGTGCAGATCCGAGATGGGTAACTTCCTGTCTCAGAAATGTGTGGAATGCTGGTTTGAATGTTTCTCTCGTTGCTGTTCAGACCAGTGCAGTTAACAGACGGTAAAGTGGTCATCCAGATGCAATCACGTTTTTTCCCCCTACAGCACAGGAGCGCTAAGCAAGAAGCAGGAATTTGGTGTAGTTCACTAGGCTACAGGAGCGCCCTAATTATAGGAAACAGAGACAGGGTTCGTGTCTCAGTGACTTTGTCATTTCTGAATACCAGTATGACTCTTTGTGTCTGTTGTGGGAAGGCTAGCAGGCAAAAGAAACAAGTTTACAAAACAATCAGCTCGTGTGACCTTTAAAGCAGGGATCAGGACTTTAAAACGTCATCCCAACAAACGCTTACGGAAGTCTCCAAACACCCCAGCAGAATTTAAAAGACTCAAGTGAGACCATCAACATTCAAATTATCACGGTTCTGCTCAAATAATTTTAATGGCGCTTTTAGTTATGTGATTAAAAAAGAAAGAAAAACAGACTTTGTACCTCCAATGTTCTTTGGCCTAACACCAATCACGTCCCATTTAAGTGCTTAATATGAAGCGGCTCAAACTAGTCGTTAGCTCATCATTCTAGCCAGATTTTACTAGTTTTAAAAGATGTGAACTATCCCTTTAAGGCCAGATTTTATCTGCTAGTGTTGTTGTTGTTAGTGGTTTGAAGGAGCTGCTGCCGTTAAACCGGCGCGCTCCATGCATGAGGCAGTTCTCTCACTCATGAGTTGTTCTAAAATAAAATGTTTTATTTTATTTTAATTACCTTAAAAGACTCAAAGTCTCTTTTTACACTTTATATTTATTTAATCAGGATCGTTGTCAAGTCGACGCCAGAAACAATGAAACACAACTTGAATATCAGATGAACAACAAGGCTTTATTCAACCGGCATTCATACAAGTTATCAATCATGAACGAAACATTTCTCTTACCGTTGCTTATGGGTGGAGAGCTGAACACCCCAGTTAGAAAACGTAATCCATGAACCTCGTCAGGTAGAATCCTTCAAGCAGCTCTAACCCCCCTGAGCCCTGCTCTGCTCCTTATACATTCCCTGATGTGCGTGCAAAGCTGCACACCTCTACCATGATTACCTTGATTACATCCACATGATAAGTGTGATTGACAAACAGTAGTGATCAATAACTTATATAAAGCAATTATACAACAGATGACAAGTTCATTTTTATTACATGAGTAAATGAGACCAATTCAGCGAGCGATCTGTGTAGGTCGACATCTTGCGGCACCGCCATTGCTGCGGTGATGTGTCATTATTCAAGCTGATCCTCTGTGACAGCATGATGAATACCTGGATTGATTATGTCAGTAGCCTACAGTAAGGTATATTAAACTAATACCAACATTCATCTATGAGTTCATTATTTCAGTGATAAGCAGGGAAGATTAATGGGGAGATAACAGACTGTACCGTTAAACAGCAAATTAGCAATCTAACAGTGACATTTAGTTATTATGGACACTGGACAGGCCATGTGACACAAGTTTGTGGTTTGGTTTAAATATTTAAGAATATTTAATGGAACGACTGGCGTCCGATGACCAGAAAAACATCAGCTACAGGTCTCTGATCAAGGGTCAAAATGACTTGAGCTCAGGAGGAGTGGGGCAGATTTTACACGACCAGGTTGTTGTGACTGCATGTCTCAAACCGGACATCTTTATCAATACGTTCTTTGTTCTGACTGCGACAATCACAGTAAGGATGAGCCAATATAAGTGACCAACTTGAATCTGTCAGCAGATTCAAGTCGGCCCTGAAAACACACTTTTTCAGTGTTGCCTTCCCTCCGTGACACTTAACATGAAAATCCAGCACCGGGTTTATTTTTCTTAATTTAGTTTTTATGATTCAGTAGCTCACTTTTAACACCTCGCACCATCTTGTAGCTTTTTTGGTTTTATTTGTGCCATTTCAAATGGTTTTTATCATTCGTCGCATTATTTTTATGCTTGATAGTGCTGTTAACTGTTCTCTTATTCTGTTGTTTTTAGTAGGAATTTTTATTCTTGATTATTTATGCTATGTTTTTATGTATTTTACCTGATTTTCATGCTTTCATTGTGTTTTGCTAATATGTTCGAGCATTTGACTCTTTTATGTGCAGCACTTTGGTTAGCTGCCATGCGATTATGAAATGGTGCTTTATAGATAAATGGGTACGGTATGGGTTATCTGTGTTTCAGTTTGATCTTTTTTGTATCAGAATGTGTAAATACGCATCAGCTGAGGTTAGCTGAAGGCTGGTTGGCCCAGCGTTGTGGTCCCAGCTGACATTGTTGACATAATAAACAAAGATGTTGCTCAAGATAAATACTAAATGTCAACAGTTGACCTTGTAAAGGTGTCAAACTGGCCTAAACCGACCGACTCCTTCCTTCAGCTTCATGCTTCCTTCACAGACGAAGGTTTTCCTCATCTCATTTAAATCCAATTTAAAGTATCTGAACACCATCTAATCCAGCATTTCAGATTACACAGCATCAGATTATTCAGTTCTCTGTTTTCGACCTCCACCGTGAGGGCAGCGTGCCCTCGTGGTGAGTGTGTGACCTTTGCTCTACTTTACAAATCCCACCCTCCTCCTCCATGAATTTCTCTGCTGTGTGGCCATGTGACCAAGAGTGTGTGATTTCACGAGTGGGGTCAGAGTCTGCTCTCTTTAGCACAGTGGTTGTCTTGTGCAAGGTCAGGATTCCTGAAACCAGCAGGAGGATGAACACGAGTCAGGAAGACGGCAGAAGAGCGGGAAGGACGTCACACTGAGGCTTCATGAGCTTCAGCAGCCATCCAGCAGTCTGGGACCTGCTGCTCGGGTCAGCTGCTCGGACACACTCAGAAAAAAACAAAGTTTACCTGCACACATCTTTGCAAACAAGCCAGACTGGTTTACTATGTGCTGGAGCTGTAGATGTACATAAAGAGTTAACAAACAGGAGTAAACGGACTCAGTTATATCAAGTATGCACCCAGGGATGTTTAAACGACTGTTGATGCATCAGAGAGCTACAGTAGATCCACCGGTGTCTCTACTTCTCTCTAAAGTGGATGGTTTTAAGATTTTAACGGCTTAGATTGAAACGTTGCTGTGTGTTGCAATGTGGCTGACACTCTGAGGAAGTGTCTGACTGGGTTTCGGACTGAGTTAGTGTCTTCCTCTTCAGAATGCTAAATCAGAAGGAAAACCTGACGAGACAGCGAGGATGTGAAGGAGCTCTGGATTTACATAAGTCAAGCTGCAAGGATTTCTCTTCTGATGGGATGACTCTTCTTTTCTAATGCTGTGACATGTTTGATTCTCGGTGCAGCAGGATCATAACTGTGTGTCCTTTTGCTGGAGCGGGCTGCCAGTTTGTCTTCTCGCTCTGTTCTGTGTCAGATGACCCCACTACCCTCCCCCACCTTTTTTTTTCCTTTCTCCAGAGTCTTGTGCTGGGTGTGGGGTGACTCGTGAACCTGCTCTGCCATTGGCTTGTCATCCTCCCAGGCCAAGTATGGAGTGTGGAGGTGGTACTGGGTGGGGTCGTAGGAGTACCTTTTACCTCTAATGACTGTCAGCCCGGCTCTGAAGGCACTCGTACGCTGCCTCCGGGTCTGAAATACCAGGTTCATGTTTCAGCTTCGACTCCGTTTATCTGAAGAAAATGTGAATAAAAACCCAAAAGGTGAATCAAATATCATCACATTTGTCCATTAGACGGGTTTTCAAGTTCTCAAATAACAGAATCTGTGCTCATTTCCTTGAGCATCGTTTTAGCCGGGGACATGTCCCCACCAGTATGAATAGTTGACAATCCTCCCCTGACCTTTAGGGTGCTTTCACCCCCAATAAGGCAGAAACATGCCTTTGTAAGTGTAATACGTGGATCACTGACACCCCACCTAATGTCATTTGTGAAATTATGATTATGATGACCGCTAAGGATGTCACCGAGGAAGTCTGCCTTACACTGTCGAAGAAGAACATCCTGCCCACCAAACCGATAGAGCGCTGTGATTGGACCGGTACCAGACTGTCCGCGGCAGCCGAGGTTCCAAAGGAGTAGGCCGTGTCATCACTTTACGTCCGCAACATGGCAGTCTAGGTTCTTGGCTAATAGTTGACCTTTTCTGTTAGAAAGTTCTTCAGGTGAGAAGTGAATGTCCTGAACCCATAGAGTCACCTCGACCTGGGTGGCTACACCTTCACCTGCTCTTTATTACGTAGAAATAGATTCTTTTATTTCTAAATCTCTACAAACTGACATTCACACTTTTTTCTGCAATAAGAAACATTAACTTATTACCACGGCTTTTATTCGTCAAAGATAAAAAAATACGGTAAAGATAGAAGCCCGATTAACGAAAAAGAAGCAGTCACTTCTGGATTAAGAAGTTTCAGTTCCTCCCCAGACTTGATTGCGTGTTGTTCAGGTGAGACTGACAGATCAGAGGAGAATATAAAGTCAGTATATCCCAGGTCAATAAAAAACAAGTCGCCTCGGCTGTCTGGACGCTCAGCAGCATGAGAATCGCACACGCGGTGTTCAGATAAGCGATAAGATGTTGTTTGTGAACTCTTAAATAAACATCTGCTTAGAACATCATTGATCTTGTTTCAAAGCAACCGGTGATTCGAACGTGGCTGCTCTGATAACAAGTAAAGAGATCATTCATTTGATTTATGCATGTCACTGTGACTAGAGACGTGTAGCACAGCGTCTCGCGCGTTTGTTTCTGTTTGAGAAGGGGCGTGTCTGCTATTCATAGTTGTGAGAACTTCAGAGGTCTATTAGAGGTCAGCGTGAGTCCTACTGCCGCACCGTCAGCCCTAAAGCATATCTGCACCTCTCCCGTTTGGAGACCGGCTCGACCCCTCCAAGTCTTCAGTTTCACGCTCTAAAACTGTGAGTAAAGTCGGGAACATTTCATCAACAATCTCTGATAGAAAATGGTTTTAGCTGCATTTAAATTTGGCCTTGAGCTGACTTAGAAGACACGTGATTGGCTGATTTTCTATCCCATAAGGGAGCATGCTTGCCTGTTTATATTTAGTTTAATTTTTTTGATTTCCTCTAAAACATGGACAGAAACTAAAGATTTAACGTGTCATTTATAATGTTAGCCATTGAAAAACTTAATTTAAGAGGAAATCCCCTTTTGCAGGTTTTTTCTTTTATTAATTTGTTAATTTTGGGCGAGACCTTCTAAAGCACTTTGTCCCAGTTGGCAGCAGTCCTGTCTGTCATGGGTTAATAATAGAAGTAGGTGAGAAGTCAATTGTTTCTGTGGCTGTTGGTTTACTTTTGATCCAGAGGTCAGATGAGTTGACCTGAATGACCTGTTGGACTGATAACAAATAATCAGAACATAGAACAGACGAGACGTGTTTGTGGAGTACATCACTGATCAGTCTGCATCTATTAAAAGACGCCATCTTTTAGAAAATGGCCGATAGTGACGATAATAGCAGGAGCAGGTCTGAACTGGAGTCTCAGCAGCGGTCTAATTCTGCCCGATTGTCATATTAACATTTCTGCAGAGCAGCGCCGCACACCCGAGTTTTAAAAACGACCTTTCAGCTTTATGACCTCGTCTCTTAAAAATCCAGAGCAGAAAGCTGTTTTTTTTTTCTCTTCACAAACAAATTGTTCAGCATCTGGTGTCGTTTCTGTGATTCAAACATGCGTGTGGAGTCGGATTTCCCTTCTGTGCACAGCTGCTGAATAGGAAACACCTTCTCTTTTGTGTGTGTGTGTGCGCGCGTGTGTGTGTGTGCGTGTGCGTGTGTGTGTGTGTGTGTGTGTGTGCATGTGTGTGTGTGTGTGTGTGTGTGTGTGTGTGACACTTAAAGGAGCAAACAAAGATGGTCGAATGAGAACCTTTCAACAACACACCTCCCAACTTTATGAGCATATATAAGGGAGGATCACTAGGAATAACAAACACTCCCAGAACATGTGTGTTTCTAACTTATTTACCTGTTTTCATACGTATTTCCATGTTGTTAAAGTGGTAATTATACCTACCATTGTTTGTTCTAGCATTTGCTCTTTTGTGTAAATTGTATTCGGACTCAGCATCATTTCTCTTAGTTTTTTGAGATTTGAAGTAAAACGGAATAACCGACAGGCTAAAAGTATTTTTCTCTTCATTTAAAGAGCTAAAAATCAACATTTTACAATAATCAGCCTTTTAACATTATTTGACTGTTAAATTCTTCAGTTTACTTTAACTCCCTGTGACATTTTTTTGAATGCAGGATAAGAAAGATTTGGATAATAAAGAAACACTTTGATCATCCAGATTTTAGAAAATGCACCAAAAAATTGTCTGGTAATCGTCTGATGTTCAGCGTGACAGGTGATCAACAAACCAAACGCCAAAAGGAAAACAATAACTGATTTTCTTTTGGGATGGGGGTTGTGAATGCACCAGAATCGAGCCTTTCAACATTTAAAAAAGATATTAAATCAATTAAACAATGGTTTATCGAAGCGTTTAAGTCAAGTTACTGATTGCTAAAACTCATATTAAAGGGTTTTGTGGTTGAATATTTACTTGGACTGGAATTGTGGGTCTGTTCTGAACCTCTGGACCTATTAAGGATTAATCTCGTGTTTTGTGTTACTACATCAACGTAGTGGGAGTTATTGTGCTTTTAACGAAGGAAATCAAAGCTTAACCCTCCCATTGTCTATTGGTGACCCCGCGAGGAACGTTGACCAATGAGCAGGGTTGATGGTTTATCCCTTGAGGTCCACGTGGCAGGGGCGAGGTGGTGCTCACTCCTCACCCCTGCCACGTGGACCTCAAGGGATAAACCATCAATCCTGCTCATTGGTCAACTTTCCTCGCGGGGTCACCCATAAAACAGTGGGAGGGTTAAAGGAAAAAAATACAGATTTCTTCTAATCTGGGAAACTTGTTAAAGCATGTTAGAAAACTTCTTATGAAAACAGCCTTTACCTAAAATCCCTCCTCGTCAATGCCCCCCCCCCCCCTTTCTGAAATTGTACATATTGTTCCTGCTTAGTTTTAAAAATTAGCTAAGTGCAGCCCTAGATAATGAAAAACAGATGGCACAATAAGTCACCGGGTCAGTTACTGAACCAAAACTTAAGTCAAAGTCCAGAAGCAGTAAAAAAAAAAAAACTCACTGCTTTTATAGGAATTTATGCGGGAGCACTCAATGTACTCCACTTAAAAAACAACAATACACCTGAGATTATGTATAGTGTAATATAGTGTAGTATAGTATAGTATAGTATAGTTAGGCCTGGGACGATAAATTTTGCTGGACGATATATTGTCCAACAAGTTATTGACAATCCAATAATATTGTCAACGTTATCAAGACCAAAAGAACCACTTGTGTAACGTTAATATGTAATAATAATAATAATGTGAGTACACCCTTTAAAATGCAACATTTAAACCTTTAACATTGGAATGTCCAGAACCAGAACTTCTGAATAAATAAATAAAAATAAAAAAGTACTTTCACTCTCTGTTAGAACAAATACTGTTGCACCAATAACAATAAAATAGACCCTGTCTCTCCAAAACAATAAATGCAATGGCCTATCCAGTGTCAACAACTGAAACTGCACTTCGATAATGATAATAAATAATAATAGAGTTGTACATTTCTTAACCTCGATATATTCAGGCTGGAAAAAGCGATTTGAGTTCATTTTCATCCATCGTACGATTAACTGATTTATTATCATCCCAGCCCTAAGTAAAGTAAAGCATAGTATAGTACAGTACGCACTGTGTATATTAAAGTTTAAGACTGTCTGGTACAAACATTGAACGGGCTTGTTGGAGGTACCGAGAAAACTCCATTCATGTCCAAAATCAAGATTCTCATTTATTATCATTCTAAATCGATTCTGTTTGAAAGGCTTTATGTAAACTGCCATATTTCTGAGCGTCCCTAAACGCATCATCGCTGGAGCCCGGCGCTAGCCCCAGCTGCTCCTCTCTGTGCGCTCCTACGCTGAAGTCTGCAGAAATACACCAGTGACTTTCCCTTTCTAATTATCCTGTGTGCGTTATGAGTCAGGAAGTGATTTCCACGATGTTTTATCATGTTTAAATGATGCTATCCTGTTTAGTTTGAGTGTTGTTTCATGCTGACTGCACCGTGCATAACTGACATAATTACTAGTGCCTGTTAGTCTTTGTGTTCAGTGTTAGCGTTTATATGAATGCGTGCTGTTGTTATAAAACCTGTGTGTTAGTTTAGGATGTTTCACATATACTGACACATTGTATTCTCTTTTACCCCGCTTCTTCAGACCACACACACACACATTCTAGTCTACACTGTAGTTGACACTCTTGGTTACTAAGAGTATTGATGATGAATTGATTTTTATCAAGATTCTGAATCGTATCGTCACCCCGAGAATCAGAATCAAATAGAATCGTGAGTTGTTGTAAGATTCACACACCAAATGCTCATCTTGTTGAGAAAGATTTACAGTAGAAAGGATATGTCCTTGAACATGGAAGAAAAAGCACCTTTTAGTGTTGCAGAGTAGCATCTAGGCGCAGCCGTGGTGTGGAGTGTGTCGAGTTTGGTGGCAGGAGAATCTCGTCTCTGCTTTTTGCGGATGATGTGGTCCTCCTAGCTTCATCCAGCTCTGACCTTCAGCTCTTGCTGGGTAGGTTCGCGGCCGAATGTGAAGCGGCTGGGATGAGGATCAGCACCTCCAAATCTGAGACCATGGTTCTCGACCGGAAAAGGGTGGCTTGCCAATTCCGGGTCGGGAGAGAGGTCCTACCTCAAGTGGAGGAGTTTAAGTATCTCGGGGTCTTGTTCACAAGTGAGGGTAGGAGGGATCGGGAGATCGACAGGCGGATTGGTTCGGCGTCTGCAGTGATGCGGACGCTGAGCCGATCTGTCGTGGTGAAGAGGGAGCTGAGCCAGAAAGCCAGGCTCTCGATTTACCGGTCGATCTACGTCCCAATCCTCACCTATGGTCATGAGCTTTGGGTAATGACCGAAAGAACGAGATCGCGGATACAAGCGGCCGAAATGAGTTTCCTCCGTAGGGCGGCCGGGCTCAGCCTTAGAGATAGGGCGAGGAGCTCGGACATTCGGGAGGGACTCGGAGTAGAACCGCTGCTCCTCCGGATCGAAAGGAGTCAGTTGAGGTGGTTTGGGCATCTGGCCAGGATGCTTCCTGGACGCCTCCTCGGGGAGGTGTTTCGGGCATGTCCTGCCGGCAGGAGGCCCCCGGGTCGACCCAGGACACGTTGGAGAGGTTACATCTCCAATCTGGTCCGGGAACGCCTTGAGGTCCTGCCGGAGGAGCTGGTGGAGGTGGCCGGGGAGAGGACGGTCTGGAGCTCCCTAGTTGGGATGCTGCCCCCGCGACCCGGACCCGGATAAGCGGAGGAAGACGACGACGACTAGTAGCATCTGAGCTAGCCAGGCTTCTGAAGCTCTTTAAGCAGACAAGGCTGAAGGGAAATGATGACGAACCAAACAAGTTTCATACCAGCTGTTTGGAGGGAACCATGAACTCCTCCGTTTACCAAAGTATTCTAGAGTCAAATGTTGGTCCATCTGTCCAACAGCTGAAGCTCGATCTAAATGTATTCATGCAGCAGCACAACGATCCTGAACGCAGCCGCAGATCTACCATCACATCCAGATCCTGCTGTGGGTCAGTCAGTGCATACCAGCTTCACACTGATAGAGATGATGTGGTGGGATGTTTGATGGGCAGAAACAACAAAACATCCACAAACATTCAAATAACAAAAAAACAGAACAAAATCAGAAACCAGTGTTGTTGCTGCTGAAACGTCTCCACAAGCTGATGAATCACAGAAGTTTGAAACAGAAAGTTTTATTAGACTGGTGTTAGGGCTGCACGATATTAGGAAATTCTGTGTTGTGGTTAACACGATGATGATGATGATGATGATGATGATGATGATATGACTTGGAATAAATAAATACTTAAATGTGCTGTTGGTCTTTCATCTCTGTGTATGTGTACACGTTAAGCTGCCATAACTCAGATGTGTGTTTGTTTGCTAGCCATCTAAATGAAGTGCTGTCTGCCTAGGGGGCGGGCATCTAACCTGTAAGAACTTACCTGATTGGCCAATTGCGTGAAGGGTTCTATTTGACTGGTCACAAACGTCATGCTTCCATTTGATTGGCAAAGTGTGTTATATGTAGCAGACATTTGAGCTGACCATTTATTGCATTTTTTTCTGTTCTTTGTGATGTGGACATTGTATTGTGCAGCCCTAATTGGTGTGTTAATGCCTGAAGTGGAGCTGAGATCAGACGAGGTTTCTTTTCTGTGTTTTTGCTCATTCTCAGTGCTGAACAGCCATGCAGGCTCAGGAAGTCCTGAGGCATCTGCGAATTCCCGAGCTGGAAGATTTACGACAGTATGTTCGAGGATTCCCAACAAACACCCTGATGGGAATGGGCGCTTTTGCTGCCATCACCACATACTGGTTTGCCACCCGACCGAAAGCCCTCAAACCACCATGTGATCTTGGTCTTCAGTCTTTGGAAATACCAGTGAGTGTCAAATCCTCCTGTTCCCTTTTACTTCAGTTATCTTTTGACTCGGAAAGTATGTCCTCTGCTGGAGCTTTAATCACCGCTGATTAAGTGTTCCGGTGTGAAAGAGCTCCTCTCATCGTCACTTTGTTTTGTTTCCTCCTAGGGCGGAGAACTTGCTAGAAGATCAGTTCTGAACAACGGCGACAGTGAGTTCTTGACCCATTATTATGATGACGCACGCACGATGTACCAGATGTTCCAGCGAGGTCTCCGAGTGTCAAGTGAGTGTCTGAGTTCAGCAGGAAGATGCCTGAAGGTGGTACGACAAAAAATGTAAACGTTAACATTTTTGGTAGATAACGGACCTTGTCTCGGGTCGAGGAAACCAAACCAGCCTTACGAGTGGTTGACCTATGGAGAGGTGTGGACTACTTTTGCAAATGCACAACTTTTTAAGGTGGAAGGAAGCTTTTTAAATGGTGTGTCTGTGCACAGGTGGTGGACAGAGCAGAGAACATTGGATCAGCACTCCTTCACAAAGGACACCACCACACAGGCGACAAATTTGTTGGCATCTTTTCACAAAACAGACCAGAGGTACATTTTAGTAGTTTTATTTGAACCTTTTAACTATTGCGCCACACTAATTATTTAAAACCTGAAAATAAAAAATAAGTAACATTGGAGTGAGCAAATATAATTTCCAGTAATGTTTATGTCAATATGAATAAACAACCAGAGAATTTAGCAGGAGTCACACTGTCGCCTAACATTTACGGACACACGCATCTTGACTTACGAAGGCTGTTGTTGTTTTGGCGTCCAGGAAACCGCAGAGAACATCTCAACTAGTAGAAGCTAACCGTTAGCATTAGCGACTCCACCACACAGCAGAAGCTCCTCCAGGCTTGTGTTATTTGTGGAGATAAAACATCAATGTTGCAAAGCAACGGTGGTAGAGTCGCGTTGCTGTTAACCAATCAGAGACGAGATGTCCAAATATCAGGAATTAAGACTAGCAATGGGTACAGAATTCGGTACTTTTTAAGGTACCGACTGAGTTCCATAGTACCGACTGAGCACCGATTCACGTCATTTAAAACCGTGCCTCGTTTCCGTACCCGTCCTTCATAATGAGAACTTGCCTAGACAGCTGCGCGTGCGCAAGAGCGTTATGTCGTCGGTCGCTGCGAGCCAGTTGTAAACAGAGCAGCATGGTAGAAAGAACGCACGCTAACGCTTGGGTCCACTTCACTAAATGTGATGGGTGATCACTGGGTGATGATGAAACCAGTGACAACGATTTAAGTGAGACATCCTCATCTTAATCTGCTCCGGTAGGTAAATAAAATGTTTAAGATAACGTTAGCTTGATATGTTAGCTTCTGTTCCGCTAATGGTGCGTTCGCTTTCTCCTCGGAACTCCGAAGTTCTGACTGGAAGAACATGAACGCGCTCTAAAGTTTGGCTTCACTTTACTAAATGCGACGGGTTAATGGGTGAAGATGAAACCAGCGACAACGATCTAAGTGTGAGGCATCATCGTTTTAATCTGCTCCAGCAGCTAAATAAACTGTTTAAGATAACGTTAGCTTGATATGTTAGATTCCATTGCCACCATTGTTATCATCTAATGGTGCGTTCGCTTTCTCCCCGGAAATTCTAACTTCCCAGTAGGAAAAATCAAATGAAAAAAGACGGCAAAAGGAATGAAGATACACAGTAAATTTAGTTCACAGTAAAGATGTTTGCTTCAGTTTAATTATCAACTTATAAAACTACAAGGACGATGTTAAAATACAAACAGTTGTATGTTATTTATCGTGATATTTATCAAATATGGTTATATATTGAGAAAAATATATATTTAATTATAAAAGAGAATTAAAATATTAAACACTCAAAAGTATCGAAAATTGGTACCGTTAAGTACCGGTATCGATTCCTAGGTACCGGGAATTAGTACTGAATCGATTCAAATGTCAAAGGTACCCATCCCTAAATAAGACTCCGAATCCTGCCGTGTTCACCTGAACTCTGATCTGGCTCACTACTAATTCCTGAAACAGGCGCATCGGAGATTTTCTTCCCCCGAGTATGAATTACAAGTCATTCATTCCTAGTAGGAACCAATGCAAATGTATTGAACACATAAGTTAATCACAACTTTTATGCCCACATTTCCTGGTTTTAAGATCAGTGGGTTCTGGCTCAGAGGCACTTGTAAGCTGGCTGTGTGCCAAAGTATCCTTAGGCAAGATGCTCAATCCCAAAGTTGCCCCCGGGCGTGATACAAATTGATATTGAGATGTACGTTTTCGTGCATATCGCCCAGCTGTAAGCGATGTGAGATTTACAGACTAAATGGTTCAGTTTGGTAAAAATAACTAAATGTGTGCCATCTGGCTGCCGCATGAATAGGTAAAAGTAACAGAGTGTTTTACTGGTTTATCTTTTTCTGACATTGTCAAAACTCTGGTTTATATAAACAGAAATGTACCTGTTGTTGTTGCAGTGGTCCATTGCAGAGCTAGCCTGTTACACGTACTCCTTAATGGTCGTCCCTCTATACGACACGCTGGGCACCGAGGCCATCGGCTACATTATTGACAGAGGTACGGAAAACAAATTTCCACCTTTAAAGCTCTGATCCTTGAACAGTACGTGGTTAAAACTGCTGCCGTCTGTGTTTCAGCCTCCATATCAACAGTGATCTGCGACGTTCCTGAAAAAGCTCGAATGATTCTGGACTGCATCAGTGGAAGAGGGAAAACGGTGAAGACCATCGTCCTCATGGAGGCTGTTGACCGTGACCTGGTGACCCGAGGAAAGGAGTGCGGCGTTGAGATTCTGAGTTTAAAGGAGTTTGAGGTGAGAGGAACTAACAGCTTGATTTTATTATTTGTGTTCAGCTTTGAAAAGAGTTCTGTGTGCTTTTAGAGCGAATTCACAACCATTTAGATGTGTGCTGTTCAGGTTAGAAATGAAAGTTAGACCCTAATGTTCCTTTTGTGAACATTATCGGCGTGCTGATGTGGTAAAACATTTTATTTTCTCTTCCAGGCCACAGGTAAAGCCAATCATCAGGGGCCAGTGGTGAGTAGAACCGGTTTCTTCAGAAGAACGATGCTAGTTAACCAACGTTGGGATTCCTCATAGGAGAAAGGTTGTTTATAAATGAGTCAATAAAACCTTTTATGATTAATTATCATATGATCTGTGGTGTTTTACAGCCTCCCAAACCAGAGGATCTCGCAATTATCTGCTTCACATCTGGAACCACAGGTGAGCTCTCACCAACTGTAATATTTGTGCATATTTATTCTTTTTTATTTATTCAGGTCTGTTTTATTTAATCAGGAAACCCCAAAGGTGCAATGCTGACTCACGGAAACATTATCTCCAACACTGCAGCGTTCCTTCAAGTGACGGCGGTAAATATGCATATGTCATCATCATCAGTCGTGAGCTGGAGAGAAAACCTGGCATCAGATCAATGAACTTTAACATTTTTAAAGTTTTATATGACCTGTTCTGCAGCTGCCACCTTTTACGTTGTCATGGAAGTTTCAACTTTATTCTTTTAACACAAATTCAAAGGATTTAAAGTTTTGTTTTAACCAGTTACTCACAATAAGATTAATGAGGAAATGAACTGAAACCTACAAATTAGTGAGCGTGATCTGTAGGGTTGGGCATCGAGCATCGATTGGAACCGGTTCCAACTGTTCATTTTTCCCGGAATCGCTCAACGTTTTTTATTTCGATTCCTAGAATGCCGACTGGAAGAGAAATCTGCGGCCGATCTCCGTGAAAGATAAACCTGATCTGCAAATTGTGATCAACGCTTTTCAGAGCTGGTCACACCTGCTGTGTGTGAGCAGTACCCCCACCCCACCCGGCGCGCAGCGGCCAAATATAAACAGACGCGTCTGCCGAACTTTTACTCCGTGATGTAAACTTTAACTCCTGCAGCGTAGAGGAAACGTGTTAAATACGTCAACACGGTGGATTTAATAGAAGCTTTAAAGAACAAACTCGGGACGGTGTGAGGAGAGTTTGTCTCACTGCAGAAATAAAAACACACACGGAGCGCCAGCAGTCAGATGCAGCCGCTCACCAACACTCACGTGTGTGTGTGTGTGTGTGTGTGTGTGTGTGTGTGTGCGTGTGCGTGTGCGTGTGCGTGTGCGCGTGCGTGCGTGTGTGTGTGTGTGTGAGCGAGCATCAGAAGGCTGAACAATAACCTGTAGAATAATTAAAGTCATCATGCTAGAGCAGCTTCTCTGTGGTGGACCACACCAGCTTCTGCCACAATAAATAATAATAATAATAATAATAAATCACACACGAAGTTGTGAACATTTTAATTTCCTTTCTGAACTATTTCTGTTGCTTTTTAATGTTTAAAATCTGTTAGCTTGTTACCGACAGCAGCTACGTTTAAGTTTCTGTTGTGACTGAAGCTGCTGCAGCATGGAGGTGTAGTTCTCCGTCATCCTGGACATGACCATCCTGAGAGTTTTAGCTGAAAACAGCTGCACGTTTCTGGATATGTTGGAGACATTTAGCCTCTCATCCCAGAGGCTTCTTCCAGACTTTGGTTGTGGTCAGAAACAAACACACTGGTCGTGCTGCAAGTCTTTTTCTTTTTGTCTCCAAAACACGTTTTTGTCTAAATGAAGGTGATGTTGTTGTTCATAGAGTAAAAATTCATGTTGAAGTTAAGATTATTTCATCAAGTAGGACCTGTGGTTAGCTGGCTCGTGTAAACACGTCATGTCTTCAAAGAATCGGAATCGGGAATCGATAGGAACCGGAATCAAAACGAGGAATTGGAATCGGAATCGTTCAAAACCAAACAATGCCCAACCCTAGTGACCGGGCACTTTCATGCTTTAGTTTAGAATAATAACAGGAAAGGACACTAGCCGGTTGGGAGACAGTGTCGGTGTGATTTTTGATCTGGAAGCTTAAAGCAGCAATCCAGGTTTTTACCCTTTCAGGAATTCTGTAAGATTTTATAACCAGTCTGTAAAAGTGATAGTCTTAGCCTGTACTGTGATACAATGTAGACAATATGCTATTTTTTATTTTGCTAAGCTCGTCCCCTAGAGCCCCATGCAGTTTGACTTGAGCTCAACTCGGCATTAGCCAATAGCATTAGCCATCTCGCCTACGTACAGATGCCAGTCACAGAGTGTGCGCACGTTTGCAGAAGTGCCTAGACAGATACAGAGTTGGCGACATTTTTATGTGGACAAGTAAATCTTTAAAATACGAATGAAACGGCACAACATGAGAATAATTATAAAACTGTGTTTTAGCTCGGTTGCCCAGCTAGAGGTGCGCTTTCAGGCGTTGCTTCCAGTTGTAATCACGGAAGTAGGGAGAGAAACTTAAGATGCAGAAGATTTTTTCTGCCTCTAGATGGTGCCTCGTCTCGTCTCGTCTCGTCTTCCTCCGCTTATCCGGGTCCGGGTCGCGGGGGCAGCATCCCAACTAGGGAGCTCCAGGCCGTCCTCTCCCCGGCCTTCTCCACCAGCTCCTCCGGCAGGACCCCAAGGCGTTCCCGGACCAGATTGGAGATGTAACCTCTCCAACGTGTCCTGGGTCGACCCGGGGGCCTTCTGCCGGCAGGACATGCCCGAAACACCTCCCCGGGGAGGCGTCCAGGAGGCATCCTGACCAGATGCCCAAACCACCTCAACTGGCTCCTTTCGATCCGGAGGAGCAGCGGTTCTACTCCGAGTCCCTCCCGAATGTCCGAGCTCCTCACCCTATCTCTAAGGCTGAGCCCGGCCACCCTCCGGAGGAAACTCATTTCGGCCGCTTGTATCCGCGATCTCGTTCTTTCGGTCATTACCCAAAGCTCATGACCATAGGTGAGGATTGGGACGTAGATCGACCGGTAAATCGAGAGCTAGATGGTGCCTTCTGAGAAAAAAACCTCAGTATTTCTGCTCTAAAGGGAGACTTTGCAACTGTTTCATATTTTTAAATCGTTTTCTTGAGCCAGTATGTGCTAAAGTGACCCTTTAAAGTCCCATTAGTCATCACACGCTGGTGAAATTCATCTCTGCATTTGACTCATCCCCGTAGGGCTGCAGCTGTGGCTGCGCTCGGGAACTTTACAGGGTTAATGAAATGTCACCCAGCCCCTATCGCCTCCTGTGGCCAAAATATTCCACTTGTAAATTTAGAGTTGCCAGTTCGCTCTATTGGGACATAAAAAAATTTGAGCTGACATACCGGCGGTACCTAGCGCTGCACTCTGCATCCAGCATGTTTTCATACAATGTTAATTTAGTGATGAATCACTCCTGTAGACACTAATGAGGGCTGGGGAGACATTTCAGTTGTTAGATCAAGGTGTTAAAAAGACGAACGTACAGTTTGCTTTCTGTTCTACAAACAGACACTAGGGGGTGCTAAAAGCAAGCCAAAACTACCTGGTCTCCCTTTAACCTGCTCCAGACTGGGTTTGGTTTTCGTAGTAGCACACCCAGGTAAGATGTTAAGCAGATTCTGAAGTTACCTCATTAACACACTAATCCTGTTTAATTAAACTGGCCACCCTCACAGTTTCATGGCTCTACAGCGTTCTCATCAGAGATCAAATCCCGGTCGGGTCATACCAAAGACTTTAAAAATGGGACCCAATGCCTCAGCTTTAAAGGGGTTGGGTTGGGGGTTAAACCACCAAATAGTTCTCAAACGCAGCCACAGCTGCAGCTCACGGCGATGGGTCCGATGTGGAGGTGAATTTCGCCAGTGTGTGATGACTAACTGGGACTGTGATAAACCTGTCCTCTGAATTCTTGTCCTGTGAACGAGTCCAGGGTATGTTGAATCCCGGCAGGAAAGATGTTCTCATCTCCTTCCTCCCGCTGGCCCACATGTTTGAGAGGGTGGTGGAGGTACGGTAGCCGAGTGTTTGACCCGTGCACGTGTTTTGTTTCTGTGTGTCCCTGCAGGTGCACTGCATGCTGAACGTCCATGACGTTCATGTGTCCTATCTTCCCCTCGCTCACATGTTTGAAAGAGTTGTGCAGGTATGTGTTGAACTTATTGTCAATGAGATCAAAAAAGACAGTTTATAAAATAACTTTCATATCTGCATGTCATAGTTCCCCTCTAAGCTTTTGCTCGGCTACATAGCTGAGGGCTGTAGAGTGTAGAGGAAGCAGTGTAGAGTGAATAACTGGACAATAGTGCCACCTGGTGGTCAAAGTCACAGATTTGGTTTAATCAGCCTGGTTTTCCTCAGGGTGTCATCCTCATCCATGGAGCACGTATAGGCTACTTCCAAGGAGACATTCGACTCCTGATGGATGATCTGAAAACGCTGCAGCCGACAGTCTTCCCCGTTGTCCCTCGGCTCCTCAACCGCATGTTCGACAAGGTTAGAGTTTGATTTAGCTGTTTGTTTTCCTGTTGCTTTCTCGTAGCTTTAGCAGCAATTATTTGTGAGTGTTTTGTTTGAGGAGGAGCTGAAGTTTTCTGATTCCTCTCCAGGTTTTTAGTCAGGCCAACACGCCTCTGAAAAGATGGCTGCTGGATTTTGCTTTCAGGAGGAAGGAGGCCGAGCTTAAAAACGGAGTGATGAGAAAGGACAGCATGTGGGACAAGCTCATCTTTAAGAAAGTGCAGGTGAAAAGACGTTTTCTCTCTTCCTCAGCAGCGCACATCTTAGGCCTGATTCCTAAATTAGATCAACTGTGTCTGAGTTAACATGGTTTCATAATCCCTGGCAACCATTATTTACTATCTGCTGTGTTATGTGATTAGGACCAACCTGATTTGAACTTTTGCAAATTTCCCAGGTGAGTCTGGGTGGTCGGGTAAGGCTCATGATAACCGGAGCGGCCCCCGTGTCTCCCACCATCCTGACGTTCCTACGAGCTGCTCTGGGATGTCAGGTGGGTCGATGTGTATCTGTTCTATTAGGGGTTCAAGTGTGACTTTATGCATCAAATAGTTTTTCTGCATCAAAGCATTTAAAAACAGACCAATTTGTAAAAAAGACTGCAGCAAAAAGCAGTAACTGTGATTGTATTTAATGATTTACTGCAGTTCTATGAAGGTTACGGTCAGACTGAATGTACAGCTGGGTGCACCATGTCGATGCCTGGAGACTGGTCAGCAGGTAAACACTCACTTGAGTCTTTTATCATGAATCTGTGTGAGAATCATAGCATTTAAAATCATCTAATGTCGCTTCATCAGGTCACGTTGGGCCTCCTTTGCCTTGTAATATCATCAAACTGGTGGATGTGGCAGAGATGAATTACCTGGCGGCCAATGGAGAGGGAGAGGTGAGGAGAGTGGTTTATCTTTATTTTACTTCACTTTATTAACCTCCTTTGTCCAGAGTCCAGGATCAAAGAAGTTTACCAACTACAAGTTGAGACTCTAGACTCCGCTTTGTGACCAATCATCAACCCTCCACCACCATGCTGACCACAAACATTTATACGTAGATGCCCCAAAGGATCTGGCGCTGACGTAGTGGCCGGCCGCCATCTTAGATGGGTCTCCATTTCCCCCAGTGCATTCATTCCTACTGAGGAAGGTGCTTACCCAACTGAAAAACAATATAATTAAACAAATTAATTATAAAATAAAATCCCATCAGGTAGGCTAAAAAGTCAATAGTAATCCCATGTGATCTATTTTTAATAGTGTGCCGGTTGTTGCAACCTTTGGGGGTGAGGAAACCCATCCAATATGGCAGCAATGCGGTTATGCTCTCCAACGCCCAATGTGGCGTCTACGTATTTATGTCTATGGTGGTGACAGCTGTGTTTATGATGAATGACCTAGTGGATCGTGTTTGTGCACTTGAGGTTAGATGTCATTAATTTAATTATTTTCTCCTCCTGATAAATAAAACCGCAGAACTGAAAGACTGTAAAATGATAGATGTTAATGTGGCTCATATTAAAAACAAGAGGGGAAATGGTCTACATTAGCATTTAAAAAAAAAACATGAACTGTGAAGCCTCCTTTCTACCAGACGTGAAATAATTAGTTGGCATTTTGGACACATCCCAGAAGCGAAGGGACGCTGTCATTATGCTTCAAGTCTATCGACACGTCACGCTTCCAAAACATGACAAACTCTGCAGTTCAGATCAGTCCAGACAGGAAGTCAAACACCAAGGCTGTGTAAAACAGCTGTAAACTTCAAAATAAAAGTCACGTGCAGTAAGTCATTTCCACTTAAACCCCCTTTAACCAATGTCAACGGAACAGAAAATAAACCGCAGACCTTTGTGGATACATGCAGCTCTTTCCCCTTGCTTGTTATTGGGTGGATTTCTGAAATCACGCGTGGTGTTGCAATTCTCCCGTGATTTTGTGACCTCACGGAATCAGCTGTGTGAAACGCTTTCGCTCCAGTTTTGCATCTGAATCGCTCTCGGAGTGGAGCCTGCGGCTAAAACGCCTCTGTTTGGTTACACTCAGTTTTCATGTCTGGTGGAAAGGAGGCCGGAGTTTGAAAAGGAACTTGGTATGGAACAAAAGCTCACATTATAAATAATCACACTTTATTACAGATAAAAATGTTGTTTTTAAACTTTTATACACTTTTCATAAAACAATACAAGCCATTTTTAATGAACACCTATTTTACACAAAGTTGAACTGCCTCCAATCTGACGTGTTTTTAAGCTCAAAATCCACTTTTGTATATTTTATGAAACTAGTTTCATTAAAATGTCTTTTTAACAACGGCAATTTGATGCATCTTTAAAAATGTACCAAAGAATTGGAAAACACATGAAACAGAAAAGAAAATCTTTGTCGTTCGTGTTGCCGTAGGTGTGTGTGAAAGGAGCAAACGTATTCCAGGGGTATCTGAACGATGAGGAGAAAACTGCAGAGGCGATCGACCAGGACGGATGGTTGCACACTGGAGACATTGGCAGATGGCTTCCTGTAAGGAGACCAGGATGATATTATTATAACTAATATTATTAATATAAACTATCAGCTGGTCTTAACTGCTCTCTCTTATCGTTTTAGAACGGCACTCTGAAGATTATTGACAGAAAAAAACACATTTTCAAACTTGCTCAAGGAGAGTACATCGCCCCGGAGAAAATAGAGACGGTTTATAACCGCAGCGATCCAGTGGCCCAGATATTTGTTCACGGCGATAGCTTACAGGTTCGAAACTCATCCAGATGTTCAACCTTTCAGAGTGTTTAGTTGTATTTCCTGTTTGTCTCACTTGTGTCGTGTTACCTCAGGCGTGCCTGGTAGGGATCGTCGTTCCCGATCCAGACTTTTTACCTATGTGGGCCAAGAGAAAAGGACTTGAAGGATCCTACTCTGAACTCTGCAAAAACAAGGTTGGTTTTATTTAAAGCAATGACCTAAAAATACCGTCTTGACCTGACTCACGTTCTTCTTTTTTCTTTTTTAGGATGTAAAAGGAGCGATTCTGGAAGACATCCTGGCTTTGGGAAAGGAAGCAGGACTCAAGTCTTTTGAACAGGTGACCTATCCTTTCTGCAGTTTTGCATACGTACAGCAGTGGTTCTGGAGGTGGAGCAGGTTGTTCATTTACAAATACATCTCGACTGTAAGCTTCCATTTCTGACATAAAAAGTAAAGAACTGCAGCAACACACATCCAGAGTCTGAACCTGCAGCCTGATGTTTGATTAGGTTTATATCCATATTGGATGGGACGGAGGGCAAAAGCAACTCGGTGTTAAAAACAGGGTATCTGCAGATTTAAGGGACCCAAATTTAAGACTTTTTAAGACCTTTTTTAAGGCCACTTTGACCAAATTTGAGCTATTTTAAAAATTAAATTTAAGCTATAATTTCCAGCTATTGCCTGGAACCGGTGCTAACCACGTTGCGAACGTGGGATTAGCCATCCAGTTACCATTAAACTTGCCCTTCCCCATGGCGCAAGCTCCCACTAGCTTAACCAGCTAATGTGCTCATCTAAAAACAGCCCCTTTCACAACCAACTGACTGCGTACGGTTCCGCTTACGTCAACATCGTACACAAAAAATGCTGAACACTAACTAGAAATTCACGGAATTTTTATAGAAATAAAAGAATCTTGTTTATTGGGTCTTTGGTCATTTAAGACCTTTGGAAACTGGATTTAATGATTATTTGTCATTTTTAAGGACTTTTAAGGCCTTAAATTAGGAAAAGCTAATTTAAGACTTTTTAAGGACCCGCGGATACCCTGTAAAAAGCAACGAATTTAAAAAGCATCAAAATGTGATTTTTAAAAGCGACTCTTCTGTTCCGCTGCAGGTGAGAGATATCGTGCTGCATCCAGAGATGTTTTCAGTCCAAAACGGTCTGCTGACCCCGACCCTGAAGGCCAAGAGGAACGAACTCAGGAGCCGCTTCAGAGATCAGATCAACGAACTTTATGCTAGGATTAAGATGTGAGCTGGAATCCTTGAGTTCTGCAGGCACAAACAACCAAGTGACTTCTCTGCCTTCTGACAGTTTTAGTGGGAATTATTTCAGTTTTAAAGTATGTATTTTCCTCACTTGAATGAATAATTAATGTTCGTTGATTGGTACATTTTCATCTAAGCTTGTCTGGTTAAAAATCAGGGAGCCACTGAAGCCGAGGATTTGTGGTCGGTAAATTCAAGCTCCTATTTTTGTTTTAGAGACTAACTTAAACCATTTATACAGAAAAGGACGTACCACTTTGATACTTAATAACACGATCACTACGCCTGTAAATAGTTCCGCTCTGGGAACGTCTGTTATTGTTCTGAGACTGGTCGTAACCTCCTGCATTCCCGTGTGTCTCAGTGTTGAAGGAAAAAGGGACTATGTTGTTTAAAGCAGAGTTTAGTTCATCTGTTTGAGTTTTGTTTGGTGCGTGTAAAATAAGGATAGTAGCTGTACTGTCACGTACACTCAGAAACTTCTTTTCAGCACCCTTCAGGGTCAAAAACAACCTCAGGTAGACAGCGATACTAGATAATAGTATCTCATTTAAAATATTTCAACCGAAGGGATTGTGATGCATTTGTCTTCTCCAGATGGGATAAACAACACAACCGAGCTTTGTTTTTAGTCGCAGTCAGAACTAAATTATTGTTTTTTTAAAGTAACATTTCAAGTTTGACCTGAAAAATATTCCTCTAGATCTTTTCTTTTTCTCCAAATATTAAATGGAACAATAGAGATGAGACTCTGCAGCCCCGTGGAGAAGGTTGCTGATTCGTGCTTTTTAAAAATAAATAAGCATTTCTAATAAAACGGCCTCCAGTTTCTAATCAAACACGCGGCTGGATGAAAGCAGTTTAAAAGCTCGACACGTCTAAGAACACGACCCGCAGCTCGGCAGCAAACCTGAACACCTGCGTGCGTCAAAAAGCTAACGTCATTACTAATGTTTTGGTAGTAAACCAGAAACGTGAAACTCATCATTTCATTGGGTTTGTTGATCGTTACAAGTTTCCCGTTAACTAAACGATTCAAATGAGATTTTGAATCGTTTCCTGGTGGTTCCAACAGGGCAGGTGTTGTTTTCTACAGCGATCTCCGTTCCGCTGGTAGAAATGAGCACCCCTCGGGATTATTTTCATGTTTGTGAATATTTCACAAGTGTTTCGGGAGTTAACGACACCGATGTTATTTAGCAGAAAACGTTCTGAATTTACTCACATCCTTCTGTTCTGCACATCTAATCCCATCAAAGCCAGGATGTAAAAATATTATCTGTTTTATTCTAATTGTATAAAAAGGGCAGATGAGAAGCGTAGGATTAACTAAATAAATATTTGTGTAAAATTGTCAGATTAAGTTTTGTATTTTGGCTCGTTTATGGTTTATAATCCGGTCATTTAGCTGTGGGGACAGGCTGAAGTGTTTGACTGCGTCCAGTCGTCACCGGTTAGCTGTGGTTACTTTTCTGAGCATTTTATTAAATGTTTTGTTCTTCTGGAACCTTAAAAGGACAAGTTGCAACTTTTTCATATTTTAAATCATTTTCTTGGGCCACTATGTGCTAAAATGACCCTTTAAATGAAGGCTACTCAGCCCCCATCACCCCTGAATATTGAACTTGCAACATCAGTTGCCTGCAGGTTTTAGATCATGAACACAGCTGATTTGTTTAATTTAGTAATGAATCACTCCTGTAGACACTTGGGAACCCTGGGAGTCGTTTCTGCTGTTAGATTAAGCTTAAAAAGACGAACGCGCAGCAAGGAGATAGTTTTGCTTCTACAAACGGACACTAGGGGGTGCTAAAAGCAAGCAAAACTGCTTAGTATCCCTTTAAATAAGCTTTACCAATGGTTCCTACTGGGAATCACAGTCTTCCACACACGTGAGCAGAAGCTGGTCTGAGATCTCTCCGCTGTTTTGCTCAAACTCATTCAGACTCTCTAAATACTCGTGGTCATCCCCCCACACATCAGCTGTCTCCTCTTGTGGATTCTTCCTGCTTTTCTGGTTCTGGCCGAGTTCAAAGTTGCCCACGTCGTCCATTACGTACGCCTGGTCCTCCTCATCCTGTCAGACAACAGTTAAAAGTGTAAAAAAAGTGCTTTTTAATGAATGGTGTCAGAATGTCCTGTTTTATTCCATGAGGGTGAAAATTCCAACCAACCAGAGTTAGGATGTAGCTGACGCATATCTCCTGTGGGAGGGGATAACCTGTAACAGTAACGGTGTTATTTATGTTACCATGAACTATCGAAAAGTGACTCATTTAGGATCGCAACATACTCGAGGACCTGAAGTTCCTGCAGTTTGGATCGTGACACTTCTGGTACCAGACTTCCTGTTTCAGATCCACAACAATCCTGCGGAGATGGATAAGACTTCCTAAGACACGACCACATCCCCACGGAGAGCCTTCAGAGCAGGAAACTGTCCAAACCTACATGATGTTGTTGCTTTTGTGGAATCTGCCGACGTTTTCACACCAACGGTATTTAGCAATGTCGTAGAGGAGAAGCTGCTCGGCGGCAAAGTAGCTCCATCTTCTGATAACTGTTGAGATTAGGTGACAATGTGAGCATCGGCACCACACATGCCTGCTCAGCCTGTTAAATCACAAATAAACAGTTGTGCACGTCTCATTTTGACAGAAGGAGCAGATGAGGGAAGTTTTCTTCAGGTTCTGTGATGAAATAATAAAACGGTTTTTTGAGCAACAGCTGAGGAAAAAGTCCGTTTTGACTGAGATGTGTTTTAAATGCACTTTTTGTGATTTTATTTAAGAAAACCTAGTGTTTTTGATTAAATCAAACACTTATAATTGATCTGTTGTGTTAATCAAATCATTGACTGAAATTTCACTTCAGAGAAGCATTCAAGCAGCAATCAGGGGTTTTCCCCCTTTCAGGAATTCTGTATGATTTTGTAGAAATACCCAAGTACAAGTCTTACCCTGCACTGGGATGCAATGTGGGCAACACAGCATTTTTTGCTAACACTGATTTAGCCACTGGCTAGCGGACCAGCGCTGGAGCGTGTTGGGAGACAGCAGGCTGCAGGAAGAGAGGAGACTTGAGTAGAAGGACTTTGGAACGGACACGTTGGGACCAGATCAGGAGTTCTGGTACTGAGAAAAGACGGATTTTTTTCTTCTGGAACTGTGCTGCTCTGGGCGGCTGCATGTTGGAGTAGCTCTGTTGACTATATGTAAGTTTTACCTTTTCTTGGGTATTTTTTCTTCTAGTTTCTCAAGGAAATGGTATTTTTTGGGACATTTTACTTTTCTGTTTCTGGTGCTGTGAAACTTGGAGGATTTTTACTGCTATTTTTTAGATTTTCTCACTTTTTGAGCATTTGTTATGATGTGTAACCATGGCAACAGTCTGGTTTACAATCGGGAGCAGCTGATTAACATCGGAAAGGCTGAAATAATACCTCAACTGAAGCCACAAATCCCAAATGAGCTAAAATGCAAGAAGTGTGGGTGCAGAGCGGGAGCAAAACGGAGACAGAGAGAGGAAATTCAAACCATCTCTTCCATCGATCATAATGGGCGATGTGAGATCGCTGGCCAACAAGATGGAGGAACTCCAAGCCCTTTCAAGGACTCAGCCAGAGTATCGTCAGTTTCGGAACCGCTGGAGGAGATAATGCAAAGAAGGATTCTCCAGAGAATCAAGAAAATGATGGACAACCCTGAGCATTCTCTTCACAAGACTGTCCGACAACGGAAGAGTGTCTTCAGTCAGAGGCTTCTTCCGTTTGGCTGCAACACTGACCGCTACTGGAGATCCTTCCTGCCAACAGCCATTGTAATATACAACAACTCTTTGATGACTTGATTATTATTATTATTCTGAGCTACTACAGCAATCAATTTCCCTCTGGGATTAATAAAGTATTTTTGAATTGAATTGAACTGAATTGTTAAAAAAAAACTGGTTGAATCATAAAATAATACACCCCACAACTAAAACTATTACCTACAGTTTTGACCACTTCTGCGGACTTCTTCAGAGCTAGCGGCTAGCTGTGTAGTGGAGTTGCTAATGCTAACGGTTAGCTTCTACTAGCTGTGACGTTCTCTGCTGTTTCCTGGACGCTAAACCAACAACAGCCTTCCCCGCCGTGAGTCCAGATGGGTGAGTCCAGGAATGTTATTGACAGGGTGATGTAGATCTGTCAGGATTTTCTAATCCTAGAGTTTCACCGTCTGTTTCCTATCAGAAGCTAACGCTAATCTGCTAATACTAATCTGCTATACTACAAAAAACTCCCACTAACGTGAGCCATCAATTGCAAACAAGCTTTGTTCATTTTCACTCACAAAAATGTGATTTTCCTACCACCCCCCACCTAGGGCTGTAGCGAAGCCTCGACGACGTTGACGGCTCGATTCTAAAAATTTGTCGACGTCAGATCCGGAAGTCGACGCACCGCGCCCACTTGTTGCATCCCCCGGAGTTTGTAAATAGAGGAGGAATCTGCCTGTTTTTCCTCTAGTTCGCCCTCTTCTCCGCCTTCACTAACATCTCCGCCAAATACCGAAGACCCGGAACAACGTCCGTCCACTACTAGATTATTTTCCTGTTTTGCCCGCCTTCGTCTCCCGGCAACGGACAACAACTTCCGGGGTCAGATGCGCTGCTTCGTGTCTATCGCAGATGTAGAAAATCACCGGGAGCGTTTCTCCCTTCATAAAGGAGCTTCTTTCAGACATGAGGAGAGCTGTTTTGGTGGTAGCAGTCTCTCCTCCATGCTGGTCTGTTTGCTGCTGGGTGTTTTTGGTTTATTTAAACTTGGTAACTTGAACTTAACGTTGGTAAAGCTACTGTTAGCATCTTCGCTAACAGCTTCTTGCGTTGGGATAAGCTGTTACGTTTTGGTTTAGAGTTCATCTTTTTTGTGGTGTAGATCTCCCTTTTATTACATGTAGAGTGTTGTGGGTTTTCGGTTTAGTGTAAAATATCACCTGAGTTTGGTTTAACCCGTAACACCACTCGCCTCACGCACATAAGTGACCAAAACAAAGCAGCATGGAGACACTCCATCTTCTACCACCTCTCAGGCAGCAGCCTGCACTCCCAAGTTCTACACGTCATCAGAACATAACCAACCGCAACACAATAAAAGCAGTGTTATACAAAATGGAAGGCCTGTAGTGTTTATTCTCTTACAGTAACAACTTATCAATTTTTTTGAGGAATTTATTTGAGATTTTCTGGTTTTTGTTAATTGTGCAATAGAAAAATAATCATTAGATTAGTTTTCTAAATAGTCATTAGAATAGTCGACTATTCGATAAAATAATCGTCAGAATAATCGTTTTAAAAATAATCGTTTACCCCCAGCCCTACCCCCACCCCATTTTCATGTTCAGCTTTCTTCTGGAACTGCGCTGCTCTGGGAAGTTGCATGTTGGAGTAGCTTTGTTGACTATATGTAAGTTTTACCTTTTCTTGGGTATTTTTTCTTCTAGTTTCTCAAGGAAACAGTATTTTTTGGGACATTTTACTTTTCTGTTTCTGGTGCTGTGAAACTTGGAGGATTTTTACTGCTATTTTTTTAGCTTTTCTCACTTTTTGAGCATTTGTTATGATGTGTAACCATGGCAACAGTCTGGTTTACAATCGGGAGCAGCTGATTAGCATCGGAAAGGCTGAAATAATACCTCAACTGAAGCCACAAATCCCAAATGAGCTAAAACGCAAGAAGCGTGGGTGCAGAGCGGGAGCAAAAAGGAGACAGAGAAAGGAAATTCAAACCATCTCTTCCATCGATCATAATGGGCGATGTGAGATCACTGGCCAACAAGATGGAGGAACTCCAAGCCCTTTCAAGGACTCAGCCAGAGTATCGGCAGTTTCGGAACCGCTGGAGGAGATAATGCAAAGAAGGATTCTCCAGAGAATCAAGAAAATGATGGACAACCCTGAGCATTCTCTTCACAAGACTGTCCGACAACGGAAGAGTGTCTTCAGTCAGAGGCTTCTACAGTTTGGCTGCAACACTGACCGCTACTGGAGATCCTTCCTGCCAACAGCCATTGTAATATACAACAACTCTTTGATGACTTGATTATTATTATTATTCTGAGCTACTACAGCAATCAATTTCCCTCTGGGATTAATAAAGTATTTTTGAATTGAACTGAATTGTTACAAAAAACTGGTTGAATCATAAAATAATACACCCCACAACTAAAACTATTACCTACAGTTTTGACCACTTCTGCAGTCTTCTTCAGAGCTAGCGGCTAGCTGTGTAGTGGAGTTGCTAATGCTAACGGTTAGCTTCTACTAGCTGTAACGTTCTCTGCTGTTTACTGGACGCTAAACCAACAACAGCCTTCCCCGCCGTGAGTCCAGATGGGTGAGTCCATGAATGTTATTGACAGGGTGATGTAGATCTGTCAGGATTTTCTAATCCTAGAGTTTCACCGTCTGTTTCCTATCAGAAGCTAACGCTAATCTGCTAATACTAATCTGCTATACTACAAAACACTCCCACTAACGTGAGCCATCAACTGCAAACAAGCTTTGTTCATTTTCACTCACAAAAATGTGATTTTCCTACCACCCCCCACCCCATTTTCATGTTCAGCTTTCTTCTGGAACTGTGCTGCTCTGGGCGGCTGCATGTTGGAGTAGCTCTGTTAACTATATGTAAGTTTTACCTTTTCTTGGGTATTTTTTCTTCTAGTTTCTCAAGGAAACAGTATTTTTTGGACATTTTACTTTTCTGTTTCTGGTGCTGTGAAACTTGGAGGATTTTTACTGCTATTTTTTTTTACTTTTCTCACTTTTTGAGCATTTGTTATGATGTGTAACCATGACAACAGTCTGGTTTACAATCGGGAGCAGCTGATTAGCATCGGAAAGGCTGAAATAATACCTCAACTGAAGCCACAAGTCCCAAATGAGCTAAAATGCAAGAAGGGTGGGTGCAGAGCGGGAGCAAAACGGAGACAGAGAAAGAAGAAATTCAAACCATCTCTTCCATCGATCATAATGGGCGATGTGAGATCACTGGCCAACAAGATGGAAGAACTCCAAGCCCTTTCAAGGACTCAGCCAGAGTATCGGCAGTTTCGGAACCGCTGGAGGAGATAATGCAAAGAAGGATTCTCCAGAGAATCAAGAAAATGATGGACAACCCTGAGCATTCTCTTCACAAGACTGTCTGACAACGGAAGAGTGTCTTCAGTCAGAGGCTTCTTCAGTTTGGCTGCAACACTGACCGCTACTGGAGATCCTTCCTGCCAACAGCCATTGTAATATACAACAACTCTTTGATGACTTGATTATTATTATTATTATGAGCTACTACAGCAATCAATTTCCCTCTGGGATTAATAAAGTATTTTTGAATTGAACTGAATTGTTACAAAAAACTGGTTGAATCATAAAATAATACACCCCACAACTAAAACTATTACCTACAGTTTTGACCACTTCTGCGGACTTCTTCAGAGCTAGCGGCTAGCTGTGTAGTGGAGTTGCTAATGCTAACGGTTAGCTTCTACTAGCTGTGACGTTCTCTGCTGTTTCCTGGACGCTAAACCAACAACAGCCTTCCCCGCCGTGAGTCCAGATGGGTGAGTCCATGAATGTTATTGACAGGGTGATGTAGATCTGTCAGGATTTTCTAATCCTAGAGTTTCACCGTCTGTTTCCTATCAGAAGCTAACGCTAATCTGCTAATACTAATCTGCTATACTACAAAACACTCCCACTAACGTGAGCCATTGATTGCAAACAAGCTTTGTTCATTTTCACTCACAAAAATGTGATTTTCCTACCACCCCCCACCCCATTTTCATGTT